CATATATGCACAGGTACATACAATGTAAATCTCCCTGTAATCCACATACCTCTATGTATTTCCATACATAGATGCATAAAATCTCAATATTTTACAGACACACACATTCACACACACACACATATATATATATATATATATATTCATCTGTCTTTTTTGAAAAGGATCATTTGCAATTTGAAGAGGAAGATGGACAAGCTCAATAGACACAAAATGTCTATACACTTTAATGATAGGATAAAGAACAAATAGGAAATGTTTACCAATTTAATGTTTCACTTTTATTAAAGCTTCATCAGAGAATGAGATATGGAGAGAAAAAAAGAAAGAAATTCTGGTATTTTTATTTCTGATTTGTTTGATATGATGTTTGAACATGTTTGAACGAACATTTGATGCTTAATTACTCTTTTCCTCTTGCATACATAGTTTTTGTTTAATAGGATATTAACCTCTATGGGTTATTTAAATTTGTATACATAAATACAACAATGTACTCAGACATGCACACACCTAGTAACATTTTTGCTTATATACATTAGTACACACTTAGCAACAAATATGAATTGACCGATACTGATGAAATTGGACATGCAGAAATATGAACACATACAAAAAATAAAGACTTTTATATTCACTATAAACATAAAATTTGATTGACTTCTCTAGACAATACTCAACATATAAATTAATGTCATAACAATATGGTCAGGTAATAGATACTAGCTGAGTTCATAAAAAGATCTCTCATCTCAAATGTGAGCTTTGGTGAGGAGTTATGGCAGATAATCTCAGCAACAAGATAATCCATTTAGAAGAATTAATTTCAGGAAACTGAATAAAGTTGTGAGGCATTAAAATCAATTCTTTTCTTATTTCACTTGATGAAAAGCAAGAAACGCTCTCTTGCTTTGTTGAAGGTAAACAGTTTAGCAATCAGTTCCTCCCACATTTAGTTATTTAACAGATACACATCAAGCACATGGTTGAACGGTTAGAGTATTAGCCTTCTAACCATGAGGCTTGGGTTTGAACCTTACCATATACAATTTCTCAAACAGATGACTTCTTGATTATATCAAAACTTGGGAGACAATCCTAGCACTATTGGGAATGTAGCTGAAAGCAATATCACAGAAGCTGAGAAGAAGCATATAACTACTTCAGCTGTTAGGTATATCCAGGTCCAGCTATGCATACACATGAACCATTTTCCTGAATTTGACCAATCACAAACAGAGTCCCATTCAGTGTAGTGCACAACAATATCATTATACCTCTTCTCTTTGCCCAGACTTGTATCACTAAACAATTATTATTTAAAAAAAAAAACAATTCTTACAATCTAAAAATATTTTCTGGCTTTAAATAACCTGCAAAGGGCTGATAAGTTGTAGAAAAGGAATCAGTCAATCAATGGAATACTGATTAGCTACACAAGTATGCCTATGTCTTTTAGATTTATTTAGATTCTCTGGAATATAAATGTAGTGGCCACAAAATGAGGGATCTGTTTATATATTGATTGTAATATAGAATTGACCCTCCCCTTTATATCTACATAATTTCTTGTCAGTTTATTAAATTCTAATTAGGAATGAATCAACCTCTTCTTCCCCTAACTATAGATTAATTAGTAGGACTTGTATTATGAAACAATTATTATCTCAAAAGAAAAAAAAAGTCTAAAAATCTTTTCTGGCTTTAAATAATTCACAAAGGGTTGATAAACCGTAGAAAACAAATCAAAAAAATATGAAGCATTTTTTTCATCTTTAGGCACCAATTTTTCATCTACTGTACCCATTGGCTTTCTTTAGGTGCCTGTTCCATTTGCTAATCTCCCCAGAAGGTCAAAAGTTAATGTTGTGGAAGATATGATTTTCACTACTTGACATTTCTGGTGTCTTTTTACATCTCAGCAAGAAGGACATGCCTCAAGCATGAGATGGTGAAGACATTTTAGATAGGAAGGATCTAGAATTTAATGATATTAGATAACAATGTAGGCAATTCTCAATGTTTAATCTGAATGAAGATATTAATTCAAATATGTTTATTCTCTACTGTTACAGTGTGAAATGATTGAAATCCTGCAATGAGATATGCATTTCTCTATTGTTATATTAAAAGACAATTAACATCATTTTGATTGTAATTTCAATAAAACTATCCAAAAGTCAGTAAATAAAATTTTTAATTGATCTAAATTTACATTCAGATTTCATCTTTGATTTAATGACTGGTATTTAATTAAATTTATGTTGATTTAATTAATTTGATTTCTTCAATGAGTACAATGTTATCATTGATCTTGTCAAAAACTGAAATACAGCAATTGGAGCAAATGCAGGAGAATGTTTTTTTGGATTGAATATAAATATAAAAAATAATTTATTTGATGATTAATGTCATTATTTACATTTGCACTAGTGTACTCATCTTTGTTGCTATTTTCCTGTTTCAGTCATTGTGTCATCTAAACTTCTTCAGGTATCTCTTGATCTGAGTAACCTTCATGGAATTTTGAATTTCATTTAATCTCTTGGGAGAGATCATTCTTTTTCTGCTGTCCATGTCTAAAGATATCTCGCCTTGTTATATTTAGTACTGCTCAGTTATTGCTTACTCTGTTTTCACTGAGTCTGTATTTGGACTACCCAGTACAGGGATTGAACTCAAAATTATTATACCACCAAATTCATAAGGCTATGTTCTGTGAAACTCGAATATTACTTTGGATCTTATTAAAAACCAAACTACAGCAACTGGAGCAAATGCTGATGATTGTTTTTCTGATTGAATATAATAAGAAAAAATAATGAAGCCTTATAGTAAAATAAGATGTTGCAGGGTTTCTTTACTAAGTTTGGTGTAGCCTGACACAAGAAGACACTTGTGAAGATCAACCTTATGATTCTACTGAAGTAGTCAAAGTGCCATTGTAAGGAACCCTAAAATTATTGTATATTGTCTTGATAATGACCTGGGCTTATAATGAAAGTGGAAGAATTACCCCCAAAATTAAGGCATTGGAACAGCAAGATCAGACCAAAAGCATGATACATATTTTTTAACAAAATAAAGTTGAAAGGTTGTAAGTATGGAAAACTGACCTGAATAATATTAGGTTGTCCCAAAAGTTCGTAAACACTTGCAAAAAATTGAAATTTTAATCGCCAAGTAATAACAAAAACAACAAAAATTATTCCTCAAAATAAAGACCATCATTTTCCAAGACTTTCTGCCATCGATCTGCAAGCTTTCGGATCTGGTGAAAGTACCATTCGGCTTTGAATCAAAGAATTCTTGACATGCTTCCTCGATCTCATCAAACGAGTCGAATCGGCGGCCCTTCAGAAAGTGTTGCATTGAGCAGAAAAGGCAGTAATCTGATGGAGCACAGTCAGGACTGTAGGCTGGATGTGGCAGAACCTCAACGCCGTCCAGCTCTTTCAAACTTGTCGTTTTGGTCTTCCTGGCGGTGTGTGGCTTGGCATTGTCCTGCTGCATCAAAGTTTGTTTTGGTTGATCAGAGCCGGTACTTTTTGTTTCAATTTTTCGTGAGACCCACTCCAGTTTCTGACAGTAAAGTTTGGCACTGATGGCAGGACCATTCGAACCAACTCAAAATGCACGATTCCTTCAAAGTTCCACCAAACGCACAACATGACTTTCTTGCCGAATCGATCTTGTTTTGGAACCGACGGTGTCTTTTGCTCTTTCTGAACCCATCGCTTATAAACACAAAAAACAATTAAATAAAAATTTTAATGAAATAAAATTTTTTCAAAATTATCAAAATTAACAATAAAGTAAAAAAACAATTAAAAATTGCATAAAAATTCAATTTTTCGCAAGTGTTTACGAACTTTTGGGACAACCTAATAATTAAATCAAATACATTTCACACACACACATGCACATTTGTTTAAAATTTGCTATATATATTTGCTATATTTATAGGGAAAGAATGCTTAATACTTGAGATAGAGACAGAGCCTTTATATATATGTGCGTGTATGCAGGAGGATTAATGGATAGCGGCTTGGAATGAGAAATTGGAGAGCCAAGTTTAAATCTCAGTAGTGTTCATTATATTCACTTATGCACAAATAATCTTCGGGAAAGTATAAATCCATCTCCCCCCTGCCCCAGCTATGGGTGAATAGCAGGACAAACTGTGCTGATACCTTTGGTTGGCAATTAGTCTAGAAGGAATACTCAGAATTTAAATCCTGATGTTGATCATTTGGAAACCTTTTACACATTAGTGTAAAAGTGAATGCAACAGACTCACCCAGAATTTGAACTGCTGATATTTATTAGACTACATTCTCAGCACATACATGTGTGTATATGTAGTTATGTATAAATGCTTAGGGATAATAATTTAACCCATTTATAAGAATAAATGTATGTGAATGCATGTATATGTGCATAAATTCTCTGTATTTACTTTTTCTGAAAAGTGTGGTTTGTTTTTCACAAGCCTTTATCATTAACAAATTGTATGTACAGATAGTTGTTCAGTTCTAAGAGCTTAGTTACTGGACCTTCATACATTATGTGTGTAGATTGATTGGTTGATTTGTTTTTTTATGGTTTATCAACCCTATGCAAGTTATTTAAAGTTAGAAAATATTTTTAGATTGTAAGAATTTTTTTCTATTTTGAAATAATAAAAATTTAGTGATACAAGTGTTACTAATGAACCCATAGCTAGGGGAGAAGAGGTGAATTAATACCATTCCCAAGAGTATTTTTGTGTAAATGAATATAATGAACCTAGTAGGAATTGGAACTCAGCTCTCTAATTAAAAATTCCAAGCATTACACCACACACACATCCAAGCTTACAGCACCTAATATTCTCAAGCAGTCACCCATCTAGGTATTGACTAGGCTCGATGTTGCTTAAGTTCAGTGATTGTACAGGAAGCAGTGTTTCAACATGATGTGACCATAAGCCCTTTATATGACACACACACACATCCAAGCTTACAGCACCTGGTCTTCCCAAGCAGTCACCCATCTAGGTATTGACTAGGCTCGATGTTGCTTAAGTTTGGTGATTGTACCGGAAGCAGTGTTTCAACATGATGTGACCATAAGCCCTTTATATGACACACACACACACATCCAAGCTTACAGCACCTGGTCTTCCCAAGCAGTCACCCATCTAGGTATTGACTAGGCTCGATGTTGCTTAAGTTTGGTGATTGTACAGGAAGCAGTGTTTCAACATGATGTGACCATAAGCCCTTTATACGACACACACACATTTTTTTTTTACAGCACCTGGTCTTCCCAAGCAGTCACCCATCTAGATAGTAGCCAGGCTTGATAGGTGACTGTACAAGAACCGGTGTTTCAATGTTAAATGGCTGTAAGCCAATTTGCACAGGTATGAATCCATTTCTTCTCCCCTGCCCCAACTAGCTTTGGTTGGCCCCCAGTATAGAAGAACAATACTGAATTCAAAGGTGGATGATTTTGGATCAAGAAAAGTAACCCTAACAAAAAAGCTTGCTACAGAAACCACAGTAACATCTAGCATGGCGAGACAGTGGGCCTATACTCCACAGAGGAGACTATATGGCGATTTTCTAAGTTCAGCTTAGATGTGACACAAGGATGAAAGTATTGGTCACCCACTGAAGATTGAACTCACAGAGGAGACCATATGTTTAACATATCCATCAGCTAAGTGACATAATACTGTATACATATATATTTTGTAGGAATGACTTTCTCAGAAAAGCAGTTGTGTATATTTTCACTTCAAAATGAAACAGTATTAGGGATTTTAATTTAATTCTATAATTAAATTTGAAGATTTTACTTTCTGTTTTTGAAACATGGTAATTCCTGTGTAGTGATGGAACCATATTTTTAAATTAGTAAATTTATAATATTTATGATCAGCAGAATTGTATTGAACACTGTTTTTTAAAAATAAAAATAATTAATAATAACACTGGATTATAAATCTTACTATTCTTTCTAAAAATTTTTGAGATATATATAAATATATATATATATATATATAGTTTTAAGGTATCAGGATATAGGCAATCATGGCTCTTCACAACTTCCTGTCCTTTGTAGCTCTTAAAAAATTTTTTGTCTTTCTGATATTTCTCCTAAACCTTGTCCCACCATCCATTTACTCAAATTCATTAAGTATGTTATGCATTGTTTTCCTCTGGCCACCCCCAGCCTTCAATGTATCTTGTGAGTATCAGATTTTCTAAGCCCTCTTTCCTCATTATGTGCACCAGAAACTTCAACTGTCTTTTCTTGATGTTAAGTATAAGCGGCCTTTTTGTTTCCATTTTCTCTAAAACTTTGTTGTTGCTCAAATGGTATCCTCAGCATCCTTCTGTGTGTGTGTGTGTGTATATATATATATATATATATATATATATATATATATATATATATATATATATATATATATATATTATATGTGTGTATATATATATATATATATATTTATACTATTGTAATTAAAATGCATAATAATTACAACACATAAAAAACATAATAGGCAGAAATGTTAAACTTATTAATAATAATAAACAAGTTAAGCTGATCATATATTATAAAAAAAATTAAAACAATTGACCTCATAGTCTCTAATAACCCAACAACCACACAACTAAATCCTCTATAGAAAAAACAATCTGTTCAGAGATTGTATTTCTGATACTAACCCACTACATATATTGGTTTTACTACAACCACGCTCTCCTGCAGATTTACCTGTCACCTTTCTGATCTTAGTTCTATTAAACAATATTTCTTAGAAAAACATAGTCATGTACATAATATTAGACAGATATTAGTTGATAACACAATAATACTCACACATATACACAGTAAAAAGAACCTTCAGATATTGAAGGCCACGTACATTAAAACAAAGCAACTCACACTAAACAGAATTACATTTCAAACTAGTCACAACACATTACATTGCATCTAGACATATGGTTCTGAGGTTAATATTTTGTTTTTTCGTGTAGTACAACATCATAGAACTGCATCATGAATTTATAACTTGCGTCTGCTATTCTGCAAGTGTTATTGTTACATAGCAATCTTCTATGTCAACATAACAGGATATCATCTTTGATGGTGAATATCTTTGTTTAAATATCTGTATAACCACCCTGAAGATGACTCATATGAGCTGAAAGCTTAAATCAAGGAACAGCATAATAAAAAATATCTAAATGTTGGAAAATTTTTGTCTTTATTTTCACCCAAAATTAAAGCAAATATACAAAGTTTAGAACAACTCATGATCAAACATAATAGACATTCATTGTCTGTTATATTTTTGGTTTACTCACAAAGCTATATCTGTCCTGCTTGCTTATTTTGGCATCTAAAACACACAAACTTTACAGTAACTGCAGACATCATGTACTATGGCTTGCTCAGATCCATACCTTATGCTCACAGTTGCTACCACTTGAGTTAACATAATTCATCATTCTTCAAGACATCCACCATCTGCATGTGTTCTTCAGTGAATGATGTTGATGGCTGACTAGATTGGCTTTCATATGTTACATTTGTTCATCTCACTTTAAAGGATTCAACCAATTTATACATCTTTTGCTGATTCATGCTGCATGTGCCATACTCCAACAACATTTGGTGATGGATTTCCACTGACTTGACTCTCGCTGTCCACACAAAGTGTCCTATGGTGCTTGTTCTTTGATAGTGCAATGAGCATGTTTGACTCTGTTGTGCCATATCACTTAACTGAACAATAAAATGCAGTGCACAGGTAGCTACTCATCCCACCCATGTACGTGTTGGGTCATGCCTCAGCATCATCTTTTTTTTTTTACTGCATGATTTCAAAATTGCATTTAATTTCTGATTTACCCCCATATCTTCTGAGCTATCTTATCCTCTGATAAATTTCCAATATGAATTGTTGTTCAGGAAAAATAAAATTCATAAACAGATTAATGACAATCTTAGATTTCTTTTGTTATTCAATGTTATTTATTTGACATTAAGCAACAAGTATGGGTCACAGTAGTGATGGTCAACCAGACAAACACATTAACCATTAACCCATGCTGGGTCTCTTGTTTTCTAAGATAATCAAGATGAGCCTTGTCATTCCTAGTCAGGCTTCTTTGACCTTCTCTCTACTCATTTAAAGACCAAAGAATTATGGCTTTCACTCTGCCCAACCCCACCACAAACTTACTTTCTTCTCTCTCTCTCTCTCCTTTGATGACATTTATTAAAGCCATCTGCATAAACTTTTCACCTTTTGTTGTTACTGTTCTTATGTCAATGACTTTTGCCCTAATTAACCAAATTCTTTAGACTTCATTTTGTGCAAAAAGTCATTAATGTTTTTATCATGTTTTTCCCTTTTATGTTACAACCTTCTTAAGGATGAAACAATGTCTTTGCTTTTTCGGTCTCATTATATAAATCTCAACATGTCTGACTTTTCCTTTGATTTTTGATTTTTTTTTGCTGATGGCAACCTATTTATATTTGATGACATGGATCATGATAATTTTTTTAGAATCAAGAGCCTCGGGAAATGACTTGCTTTTCTTGCCAAGGAAAAGATAGCATACAATACAAAATGAGCAAAAATATAGCTGCATCTGAGCTATAATTCATTTTTCAATTATGTCTGAATTAAAATCCTTAACAGCATCGAACTTATTTTATAATAGAAAGCAAATAAATATACACATAAACACACAAAATTAATGGAAGGAGGAAAGATTCCATTAAGAAAGAAAACACATCATTTAGGTTGGCAAATAAGAAAAAGAAAAAAATGACAAAAGATAAACATTAATATCTGGATTCAAGATGGCTGCTATTCAGCAGATGATGAATGAAAAATGTGTCGAGAGTTGGGAAGACATGTTTTTAGTTGATTTCTCATTACCTTTTTTTTGAAATCCTAACAGGAACCACTTTCATTATTCCATAGATTTTTCAGACTATTGGCCACATCTTGACTACATTTCAAAATGTATTCCATTTAAATGTATACACATACACAAGGCTTACAGGCCATATCATACCGAAAACCAGTTCTTGTACAATCCCTGAAGTTAAGCAACACTGAGCCTAGTCAGTACCTAGATGGGTGACTGCTTGGGAATATCAGGTGCTGTAAGCTTGGATGTGCAGATGGTGTAATAAATAATGGCTTGAAATTGGAAAATTGAAAGCCATGTTCCAATTCCAGTTGTGTTCCTTATAGTCACTTATGCACAAATACCCTTGGGAAAAGTATAACTTCACCTCTTCTCCCTCCATGTATGGGTTAATTAGTAGGAATTGTAACAGGACTTGTATTATTATCTTCCAAAAATTCTTACAATGTCAAAATATTTTCTGGCTTTAAACAACTTGCAAAAGGTTGATAAGCCATAAAAATTTGATCAATATATACATACACACAGATTATACATTTATGTAATTATGTAAAAATGTTCATAAATTCACACACACACACACACACACACACACACACATTTAATCATACAGATGCCCCAATCCAGAACATGGACACACACATACACTCATTCACATAGATATATTTGTCATTTTATTCTTCAACAGATATTGGCTCTGGATTGTGTCCAAATGCCCCTCTATATTTTTTCATTTGTTGATAATCTTTTTCCTTATAGCCAAAGAATTTGGTATACTCTGATATGAGGTCAGGAAAGAAAAGATAAAATTTTGTCTGAACTTTGAAAAACAGGAGAACCAATAATGATAATCTGGGATGACTCATGGGATTTCTCAGTCCAAGCAGATCATTGCCATTGAAGCACAAATACCTGTCCTTATTGTTATAGATAAAGAAAGCAGTATGTTTGTTGTAATTATTGACTTTGATATTACATATGATACAAGAAGAGACTCCAAAGAAACTGAAAAGATAAAAAAAAAACCCAGGATCTGACTTGGGAGCTGAAGAAGCTTTCAAACATGAATGTAGAATTAATTCCTGCAGTAATTTAGAACAGGACCAAAAAAATGGAAAAAGCACTTAGGCAGAAAGTTTTTTCTCTCTCCCTTTCATCAGCATGGCTGATGCTAACCTCCAGGAAATAAAGTCATTGCACATTCTTGGGCTAACATTTTTCATTGACATGAAGTTGAAAGATTATATTGAAACAATTGCTGGCTGTGCTGCTAGGAAAGTTGATTCACTGTATTGTGCTAGACAATTTTTCTCATCAGAATCCATCTTGCACATTTATAAGTCTACCATTCATCCATGTATTAAATACTGCTGCCACATATAGTCTGGAGCTTCTGCTATATATTTAGACATTGTTGATAAAATTCAAAGAAGAATCTGCAATGTTATTAGTCTTAACCTGGCATCTTGTCTTCAGTCATTTTCCTACAACTGTAATGTAGCTTCCCATTGTCTTTTCTATAAATATTTTCATTGTAATTGTTCTAATGAATGTTTCTCTATGATACATAGACTTTATGAATTTAAGCACACTACTAGATTGGTGGCAAAGTTTCATCCTTTTACTGCTGAAATGGCTGCTAGATGTAAACTGTAAGTTCTATGCTAGCAGTTTCTTCTTTTCTCACACTTCTCGCTTGTGGAATTCTCTTCCTACTTCTTGTTTTCTAATCAATTTTGATCTTCAAAAATTTTAATGCAATGTCAATCATTGTCTTCTGTCTTCTTAATTCCTGTTCTTTTATTATTCTTAATAATATTTTTTTCTTATATTCTCTCACACTCATTAACCCCTTGTATATTATTGGTTTTATTGCCTTGCTTGGGATGAAAGGATTAAAAAGAAATCTCAATTTATAAAAGTTTTATATTTTGCTTCAATGTAAGAAACAAGTCACATAACAAATTCTCAATTAATTCCAAACTGATACAATATATTCTTAAGTATGGACAGTGGAATGAGATTAATCACTTTGGTTTGGGGTAATTAATTAAGCTTACTAAGCCACACGGAGGTGCCTACAAGGAAGAAGATTATGTTGAAAATTAAATGTTTGTTGTGTAAAATAAATGTTTTTCTTTTTTATCATTTGGCTGCAGTCTTGATTCACTTTTAGAGTTCTAATTCAGTGATGTCTTTCTTTAAGATTTCAATTACAAAAAAATTAATAATTGAAGGTCAATAAAAAAGTGTTGAAAACTTTTTTAAATTTTTCAAATATTGTTTGGACAATTGTATTCATATTCTTGAGTTTATTAGCATGTTTCAACCAATCCATTCTTTAGCTATTTTCAGTGAATACTTTTAGATTTAATGACCACAATAGAGGAAGTGGCCTCAAGATTGACAAAACACAAGGTAGAAGATGAAATAAGATAGAACATGAAGCAAATTTTGAAGAACTTAACACCACCCTAAACAAATATCACTCATGAAGACAAAACACCACTTAGATTTCACCAGAGAGATTAAGTAAATTGTAATACTAATGATAGCTATTTCCTTATAAGGAAACATTCGGCATTCATTGACTGAGCAACCAATACTGCTTTTGGCTGAAATTTATAAAATCTTTCTCTTAAAATAATCTTTTAGAAAAATATGTTTCTCAAGTTCAGTAGCTATTATCACTATTTCTAGTATTGATGAATGTTTCCTTCCTAATCTTTTATTTGAAGTAGCATGGAATGTTAACAATTATGTCATTATTTTTTCTTTCAGTCTCATGTGATATCCATTTTAGTTGTTGCTGCTGTTGAAAATCCTCAAGTGATGTGATTTCTGTTATTTAGAACTGTTCTATATGATTCTATAATGCTGGTCCACAATTTTTGAAGAAGGAAGGTTTAACACTAACCCTGCCAAGATCAATAGGCTTCACTTGTACAAAGCCATTTTTAAGCATTGATCTTAGAAAGCAGTTTTATACAGATGAGAGTTTAGATATTCTTGAATGAGTTTAGTGTCATGCATGACATCAGTATGAATGACTTGATCTGACAAAGCTATTTAAGAATATGACTTGAGTTTTTAGATTAATGTTTTGGTTTTGTAGCAATTTGTGGTGTTGTGTGAAACTATCTCTAGCACGGCCTCTTCTGTGATCAACTCCTACACTAAATTTGTTATAACTAATCCATGTAATGATAGGTATTTGAAATGTTTGGTATTTACTAATTCTATACCTTGAATTATTTTTGATGGATTAAAGATATGTGCCATCACTGTTTTCATTCCAATTCCAGATTATTATTTCTGTTTTGGAATGCTTTGAGTCTTATTTCTTGGAATATTTAGTAGAGAATGTGTTTTTTTTTTTTTTTGTTCAAGATTATTCTTATTTCAACTATGAATGCTTGTTGTCAGCATAATTACCCTCATCCTCTGTACATTGGCATTGGGAGGCAAATCAGCATTGCTGTCTTTTATTAGTTGATTTGTTTTGGATGTAGTATGGATTGCTTAAATGATCAGTGTCCATCTCTTCACATAGGACATAGTATATGAAAAGGCAAAAAATTGTATGGGCTGAATAAATATATAAATATGAACTAATAATAAAGTCTGAATGTTACAAGAAGGTAAAAAAGATCCTAATTATGTTTTATCTTCAAAAGAACAAGAACCATCTTATTTCTAGAGAGTAAACAGCGGACAACATCATACTAAACTTTCTTTTATACAGGGCCTTCCAAAAATACACAATATGGACATGCTCCAAGTTAATTGTCTCAGCTCCCTATGATTAATCATTATGACACATTTGGGCCACTTCTTGACTGACATTTGAAAACCACTTTCAAACAAAACATCCCCAAATTTGAAGGACTTTGCTCTTTTTGTAGAACTTATTGGGGAGGAACTCACCTGGCTATTATTTATAAATTGCCTTTCTATGTTTAGCTTAGGTACCTATAGATGTGGTTTACATATCCTCTGTGACAAACTGAAAAATGACCCTATTAGCATCTACATTGACAATTTAATGATGTTAACATTTTCTATATATATGACATTTTAGGTTTGATATTTATCATCAAGAAGAAGGCTGTGTGAAATGGGGTTTCCACATTTCCCAGTTTTTTCCCAACATTTGCATGGATTTTTTAAAATGTACATCAATCTGGCTAAGATAATTTTATCCTATGGCCCCACCAATTGAATTATATGAAGTTAGACCTTCCAGTCAGTTCACAATGGTTTTAAACTTCTTGCTTAGTCATAAAGAAGGAAGATAACTGCTCATCATACTTATTATAAAACCCAGGTTGTGTGTGTGTGTGTGTCTGTATGTTTATATATTGGATTGGATTTCCTACATTTTTCAACTGATTTCAATAAAACTTCACAGGACTACGTAAAATTACCTTGCGGTGGTTCTGACAGCACCAAAAATGGGAAAAACACAATTGTTTTTGCACAAAATCAATTTGAAAACACAATTAAGAGGCATCATGAAAATGAAAGGGGGACAACTCATATCGAGTTATACTTATTATAAAACCCAGGTTGTTTGAGTGTGTGTGTGTGTGTGTGTGTGCGTGTGTTTGTTCATATATGGGATCGGATTTCCTACATTTTTCAACTGATTTAAAAAAAAAATTCACTTTTTTTTTGGCAGGCAGTGTTTCTTATTGTCTTGCACACTTTTTTCTTTATTTTTACATTCAGAATGCTTTAAAATTCCATTTACAAGACAATTGTTTATAATAAAATTCTATTCAATCGGTAGACTCATAACGATTGAAAACAATGTTTTTGTTTGAGTTTGGGTTTGACCAATTCGTAAAAAAAAAAAACAAAAAAAAACAAGACATGCGTGTCCATCAACCTTAAACAATAATCTTTGTCAATTTTATTTTTCAGTCATTATGATGGTCGATACTTGATCTATCTCTTACTGTTACATCCCCGGGCAATGCCGGGTTCTCCTGCTAGTAAATTATAAACCCAGTGTATAAATCAAAATCAAATCATGAACATGATCAACAATTTCAGTATCTGGCACCATTGAAGAGTTCCCAAAACAAGCTGCCTCATGGGTTTTAAAAACTCCATGTTGCAAGTTGACAAATGACTACTTCACAATTAAATAAGATGCACACTGTCATCCATCGTTTGCATCATTCACTTTCTTTTGGAATTGTCTTTTGCAGGAATAGAAATTTTCTGTGTAGCCT